CACCCAACCATGGTGCCCTCCAATAGTAATGATATCCTTTCCTGTGTCTGTGTGTGAATGCTTCAATGTTCACTCCCCAGGGAGAAGCAGGTGCCTGATGCCTCACTTTTCTTTTTTCACAGAACAACCTGGCAAAGAGGAACTCTATTTCTTTGGTAAGAATCTGGGCCCAACAAGTGAACTAAACAGAACTTTCTCAAAAGAAGAAATTCAAATGGCCAGAAAACACATGAAAAAATGCTCACCATCTCTAGCAATAAAGGAAATGCAAATTAAAACCATGCTAAGATTCCACCTCACCCCTGTTAAAATAGCCATCATCAGCAACACCACCAACAACAGGTGTTGGTGAGGATGCGGGGAAAAAGGAACCCTCTTACACTGTTGGTGGGAATGTAGACTAGTACAACCACTCTGGAAAAAAATTTGGAGGCTACTTAAAAAAGCTAGACATCGATCTACCATTTGATCCAGTAATACCACTCTTGGGGATATACCCAAAAGACTGTGACACAGGTTACTCCAGAGGCACATGCACATCCATGTTTATTGCGGCACTATTCACAATAGCCAAGTTATGGAAACAGCCAAGATGCCCCACCACTGATGAATGGATTAAGAAAATGTGGTATCTATACACAATGGAATTCTATGCAGCCATGAAGAAGAACAAAATGTTATCATTCGCTGGTAAATGGATGGAATTGGAGAACATCATCCTGAGTGAGGTTAGCCTGGCCCAAAAGACCAAAAATTTTATGTTCTCCCTCATATGTGGACATTAGATCAAGGGCAAATACAACAAGGGGATTGGACTATGAGCACATGATAAAAGCGAGAGCACACAAGGAAGGGGTGAGGATAGGTAAGACACCTAAAAAACTAGCTAGCATTTGTTGCCCTTAACGCAGAGAAACTAAAGCAGATACCTTAAAAGCAACTGAGGCCAATAGGAAAAGGGGAACAGGTACTAGAGAAAAGGTTAGATCAAAAAGAATTAACCTAGAAGGTAACACTTTATTAGACATACTAAACTCCTGAGGATGGTAATGATAGCTATCAAATGCCAAATATCTATGATTCAGCAGGCAATATAAAATGTGTTATTTCATTTACGCCTTAGAACAAACCATTGAGGTAGGCAGTATTATTCTTATTTAGTGAATGAAAAAATTGAGGCTTAGAGATTTCCTGTGATGTATCCTTGGTTACACAGCAACTGTGTGGCAAACTCAGGAGTTGAATCCAGGCTTTTTGTCTTTTTGTTTCATCCCAAAGAATGCTGGCATGAGTCAGATTGTTTGTCTTTTGCAGTAGGAAAAAGGCTGTCTATTTCTCTCCCTTAGATGCCCCTAGTTTCTATCCTTAACACCATAGTACCATTTGGGACCTCCTTATTTTCCATGCAAAATTGGAATAGTCTCTTATCCAGTCTCTCTGCCTTCACTCTCTCATTCTACTCCATTCTACACATGGCTATCAGATTAATCATTTTAAAGGACAACTCTATTTATAGTACGTCCCTTCCAAAAACTCCCTTAATGCTTCTGCAAAAAGTCCAGACTACCTTCCCTGGCCCCTACCTTTTCATCTTTAACTCCTTCCTCTTCATCTTCCTTACCAGTGTTAGGAGTCTTTACTTCCCATTTCCTAACAAGTTTTCTTTTCTCTATTTTAATTCAGCAAATATGGATTGACTTCCAGGGCTGAAGGAAGTTAACAAAACTGATGAGACTCAATCTAGATCCTCCGGGGTTGCTATGTAGTGAAAAAGCAGAAAGCAGACATGCAGCCACCATCATATAGGGAGCTAAATGAAACACATCTTTATACTAACAAAATCTGAAAGACAACAGAGGAGGAAAGTGCTGCAGGAGTGATGGTCTCATTATACCTGGGGATCCTGGAAGGCTTCCCAAAGAGGTACTGTTTGACCTGTTGGATAAGTTGACATCTATAGGGAGAGAACTGGAATAGCCTCTGTGATTTACTTACTCCTAGAAAGCTCTTGCCTCAGCTCTTTGGCCCCAAAAACTGACTCATTTTGCAGGCCCTACTCTTTCTCTGTACTTCTGTTGTCATTCCCTACCTTTCACAATAATACTTACCCTTTCTAACTTGTATTATAGTTAACTGTTCTTATGATTTATTCTCTCTTACTAAGTAAGCCCTGAGGACTTGAGGAAAAGGGAATGCCATTGTTTTCATCTTGTATTCCTTTCATCTTTTGAGCCTGTAACTGGCCCCAGTTACCAACCTGTAATACATGCCTTGAAAGTTATGGATACACGAGTGTAAGTTGGAATTGCCTTTAAGAATATTTGTTTTCAAGGTGATAGATTCCTTTAGATATTTATTTTAATGACATGGCATAAAACACCTACCATGTACCAGGCATTATGTGCTAATGTTGAAGATTTAAAGTGGTTTATACCTGGGCACTGACCTACCCTTCATGAAGATGACTGCAAAAGGGGTGACAAACATGAATTTGTTGAGTTGTAATGATGATTATTGTTAATAAGGAAAATAAAGGGCAATAATAAGAGGTAACTTTTACATAGCACACAACAGTTGCCAGGCACTATCCTAGGCACTTTACCTGTGTTAACTCATTTGATCCATAGGTACCACAATCCTAAGAGGTATCAGAATTTTACAGATAAGAAAACTGAAGCCAGGACAGTCACACAATATCCCCAAGGCCCTTGGCTAGTAATGGGGAATGCCAGTATTAGGAGAGTATTTAACAAAGATACCTAACCTAGTTTAGTCTACTCAGGGGAGACTTTCCTGGGAAGGCCACATTGAGCTGAGGCTAGGAGAGTAAATAAAGATCAGGCAAAGAGGCCAATGTTGGGTAGAATTTTGGGCAGGGGAAGGCCTGGATGAGACAAGGAACCTAACTAACTTAACTGAAAGGGAAGGTAAGTAGTGGCTATATTAACAATTTTAGATTTTATCCTAAAACAGTGCACTCTTTAAATAGAGGAGGTATGTGAACAGATTAGAGCTTTACAAAGCTCCCACTGGCAGTCATGGGGAAAACGGCTTGATGCATGTGTGGTTTGAAGACAGAATAGTAGGCTGAACCTGAGTGCTGGGATTATAGACTGTATCATCAAGCCTGGTTTTAGATTTTATCCTAAAACAGTGCACTCTTAAATAGAGGAGGTATTGTGGAAACAGATAGAGCTTTACAAAGCTCCCACTGGCAGTCATGGGGAAAACGGCTTGATGGTCATGGTGGGTTTAAGACAGAATAGTAGGCTGAACCTGAGTGCTGGGATTATAGGACTGTATCATCAAGCCTGGCTAGATTTGCTACTTTTAGGAAAGAGAAGCAAAGAATTGGGAAATCAGTTTGTAGCAAGGTGGAGAAATGAAAGTGTTAAAATGATGCTCCTGGTTTCTGGCTTGGGCACATGAGTGGATTTAATAAGACGGGAAAGACTAATTCAGGTTTAAAGGAGTGGATGAAGACTGAAGTCCTGTGAGCTATCCAAAGGGGGGGTGCTAGTGCAAATAGAAGCCTGAAACTCAAGTGATGCACAGCACTCCTAACCACTCCTTTGCATCCTCTCACCTGGAGCTCCTGGAAAGGTCTAGAAGTCCCTCTGCAACATGCATGTCTACCTCTGCTTGATTACTATGGCACCAGTTGTTCCTTGAAGTTTCTACACTCCCTTTAAATGGACTTCACTGGGAGAAATGCTGGAGTGGGGGCTGGGATATAGCCCTAGGTTAGGGTGGGCTCCTAGCGTACAAGAGACCCAGGGTTCTATCCCCAGTAATTACACAATAATGTTGTGAGGCAGGAAAGGAGGCTATCCTTGCACAGGGTTAGAGGTTGCTTGTGGAAAGGGAAGGAGGGAAAGGAAAAGACAAAGAGCATCAATAATATCAAAAACATAACATCTGTGAAAGTAAGGATATAACGAATGTATTGAAACTAGTTGAAAAAGGCGGGATGGGAGATAATGGCAAGGAACTGAACGGACCAAAGTAAAGTATACACACAGCGAAGATAATAAGAAATCCCTTGAACATTGACTTAGAAATTTAATCATGAATGAAGTCAGGACTGTAAAATCGGTACAGGTGTGTGGTACTTGTGGAGGGGAGGGGGAGCAAAGCTTAAGGTGCGGGAATGTGGTTGATGGACTTCATATACCTATAGGAAATACAACAATGAAACCTCATGCAACTGCTTAAAGTGGGGTGCGGAGGGGGGATCAAGGGGGAGAGATGCTGGGGCGATCTAACCAATGTTAATATAAGCCTATTTGGAATGCCGCAGTGAATCCCCCCTGTACAACGAATACATCCTAATTTTAAAAAATCCATGTACCAGGAGGCAGTCGAATGAAAGATGGGAAGGGCACGAAAATTTGAGGACTCTGGCTGGGATGATCTATTTTAGCATGAGCCCCGCCCCGGCGTCAGCAAGGCTTCCGGAAACTCCACCCCCTGAGCACTCGGTTTCCCCCGGTGGTTCCGGAAGAGCGCGGGATCACTGGGCTCGGGCGGAGGTCGCCTGCAAGGCAGCTAGGGCCGGCTGGGGCGCGGAGGGGCGGGAGCCAGAGCCAGTGCTTTGTTTCGGGGTTTGTTTTTGCGCTTCGTGGCGTGGCGAGAAAACCTCTGCGCCCAGCTGTCGTGCGCCCCAGGGGACCGGCGCGGGCTGAGCACGCGGGGCGGGACCGCAGCGCGTCTGAGCGCCAGGTCCCAGTGCCGCCCGGACAGAGGCCAGGGCGCGAGCTCCTGCCGCCCCGCGCACCCCGGGGCTCCAGCTCGCGGGCACCGCGGGGACGCAGCAGTGGCTCGGCTGGGTCTCTGGGAACCCGACGCACCGAGACAAAAGGTCGGAGAGATGCAGCAGGAGCTGGGGAGCCGGCAAAAGGGAAAGCGAAAGCCACGCGCCGGGGAGCTGACCGGGTGCAGGCGCGCGCAGCCCTCCCGACGCCGGCGGTACCCGGCCTGCCTAGTGGGCCTGCCTGGCCGAAGCTGCGTCTCAGTAGCCATGGCCATCGCCCACCTGGCTACGGAGTACGTGTTCTCGGACTTCTTGCTTAAGGAGCCCACCGAGCCCAAGTTCAAGGGGCTACGGCTGGAGCTGGCGGTGGACAAGATGGTCACATGCATCGCGGTGGGGCTGCCTCTGCTGCTCATCTCGCTGGCCTTCGCGCAGGAGATCTCCATTGGTAAGAGTCGGGGCGGCCACAGCGGCCAGCGCTGGGCCGCGTTATCTAGGGCTGTCGGTCTGGTGAGATGTGATTTCATTGCACTTCATCCTGAATTTTGGAATGCCCCGGTAGTGCTCCCAACAGTGGGCTGCAGATTGGGAAATGGGCCCAGTTGCATCATTGTATCCCGTTGACTCTGCTCATATCCTACTCCTCAGTTCTTTTGTTCCCTGTGTCCACCTAGCGAACTGGGTTAGTGGTCTTGTCCCATCCTTTTTACTGGTGCCTTGCCACCATTTGCCAAGTTGTCTCCCTTCTCTCCACCGCTTTCCCCCCAATATTTGTTCAGTCACCTAAAATTTTGTACCGGAAAAGTTCCTGAGTGGCTGAAGAGTATATGAAGACGAGTGCCCCATGAAAAGTGTGTTTTCCTTTCATATCTTAGATTTAATTGATATTTACTTTAGTTCTGTAGTGTTGTAAATAATGGGAAATGACACAATTGGCAGGTTTTAGATCCTCCATGTGAACAGTCCTCTTCTGAATGAGAGATAAGTCTCCTTTATGTAAATTCTCAGTTCATTTTAACTGTTCTGTGAGATTTAATAGTCTGGTGATTTGGGCAGGATCTCCTCCTGGCAAGTGGCTCGACAATTGTTTTGACTTTCAGCACAGGAGAGGGTGTAGGAATCACCTGAAGATTGTGTGGGAGGGTAAAGGGAGGGGTTGGACCATGGGGAAGCTTATGGCAGAGGTGGGTGGGTTTGGTTAAGCACAGATGAGACCATTGCCAAGATTTAGAGATGACAGAAAATGTTGCATGTCTTTGGAAGGGAAGACACAGGAGTGTCCTAGCCAAGGCAGTAGGATTAATCGGGTTTCTGGGATCAGAGCAAATGTGAACCTGTTCAGATTTCAGCAATAGTGGCAAGTTGCTGAACAGAGGACACATGGTTGACAACAGCACTTAATAAATAGTCTGATGGTGGCATACAGGGTCTGGATGTGAAGGAGGGGAGAGAGTGGAGCTAAGAAGCTGGGTGCTATGAAGTGGGGCATTAGTTGAAGTCTTGTGGATGGATGGTACAAAATGTAGAAGGCAAAGGAATGGGCATTTCTGAGAGAGCAAGGGGTAATGAGAAGAATTTCGGTACCTAGATTTTAATAGACTGTGAAGGGGAGAGACTGGTTGAACTTGTTAAAAAGGTTGTAGGCCTAGATGAATAGAGACTGGACATGTTGATGGGAATAGCAAAATTGAGAGTAAGATTTGGTTAGGAAAGGGTCATGATGAGTTTGGCAGGAAGTTGTCAAATTCATTCATTGTGGAAAGTGAGTTTTCAGTTTCGTTGGTCCTTGGGCAGACATGGTCATGAGGTTTCCCTTTTGTCTTCTAGTTGATAGGAATTGTGTCTTTAAGCTTAGAGGAAAACCAAGACATGTGGATCTTGGAGATAATCTCCCCTTTCAGTATGAGCTGTGTGCAGAGCCAAGTGCCAGGCACTGAGGATCTAGGAATACCCGAGGCATGGTCCCTGACCTGGAGAAGCAAATGTTGGGCACCTGGTGGGGGCAGAGAGCCAGGAGGGAAGAACTGATCACTGTCCATGACCAAAGCCTACCTTTAGTCTGCCTACTAGAGGGACTCCTAATCTACCTGCACCAGTAGTGCCTTAGATAGGTCCACATTGATGGGTTGTCCGTGAGGCATTTTTGGGTGTGAAAGGATTTTGAGTGAAGGTCCTCCTCCTACCCTGTGGGAATTTATCACCCAGCTGTGCACTAGCAGGAACCTGCTAGCAGATAGCAGCATTCATCAGTGTGTGATTCAGTGACAAAGCAGGTGCCAATCTCTGACCATCAGGATAGTGAAGGTTGGCAGACCCTTGGGTGAAGCACTGTCAAGCAGATTCCCATGTCTTCTGAAGTGCTTCCGGAGTTCCAAGGCAGAGCTCAGGCATGTGGAGTGAAGCCACCAGGACCAGGGAGACATATCAGATTGAGTGTACATTTAGATAAAACCAGAAGAAGGGCTTTAGAGAGGAGAGAAGTACATATATTAATACATGGAGGTGGTACAGTGGGATGATGTCATCTAACATTTAATTTTGTGCAATTTAGCTGTTTGTCCTCAGACAATAACAAAAGAAACTAAAGAAGAAAGTGAACCATAACAACAGCAAAGAGAAAGTAATTTAACTGGTGCAGGCACTTTGCCCTCAGTGAGCACAGGCCCAGGAGCTGACAGGGCCTGCCAACTGCAAACATAGCTTCATCCTCCATCTCCTGATAACTACTCCCCCTCTTTCTGGTGTCTGGGACGCTCTCCTTGTTATAATTGACACATTGCATTATAGCCTGTCCATGTGGTTGCCTCACCTATAATATACTTAATCTTGTAGTGATCCCTAGGAGCTGGAGTCTTGTATGGCATCTTGAAGCCTTTCTATAAACATTTGTTGGGTGAACCAAAGGTGAGAGCTTTTGGCATCATGAGATGTTTCTTGAGCTAGTATGATAATGCTGTTCCTTGCCAGTGGAGCATCAGACACTTGTAAGATATAGGATCTGTTCCTCGGGAGCATGACCAAGCAGAGAAGCTGGACACGCAGTTATCCTAATAGAAGATTCATGGAATCTGGGCAGTGTCAGAGGTGTGTACTAAACCTGGTACAATGAGTTTCTTCTGACTGACAGGAATGGTGAGCAGGGAAAAGTTTGAATTGAGCTCTGAGACAGGATTCCAAGAGTATGGACCAGTATGAGCTGAAGCAGAGAGTATGAGATGCACCTGGCTGCCAGAGCTGGGAGTCAAAGTGAGTATGGAAGAGGTTGCAGGAGCTCCCGTGGTTTTCCTGTTTGCATTGGGGTATATATATCAAATTAGAAGTGAGGAAATCACTGTTAATCACATGTGTTAGTTTTCCTTTTTTTCTGCTTGTGTTGATAAACTAGTGTATATAAAAGTTAACTGATTTTGATTAACATCACCATGGTGGCTTTGGCCCCTTCACCTCTGCAACAGCTCACATAGGCCCATAGTGATGGGTACTGTTAGCCTAGGCAAGTGAAGAAGGCGGTGGAGGGCTGGAGGCATGGCTCAAGTAAGTAGAGCCCCTGCCTACCAAGTGCAAGGCTCTGAATTCCGTTCCCAGCACCATAAGAGAAAAAGATTGTGGTGGGGTGAGAGAGCAGAAGGGATCCTGCCTTACTCACCAGATCTTGCTGCCTTTGGGTTGTAGGTCATCACAGAAGTACAGGAATGATGTGGTCCTGAGGTGCAGAGCAGAGTTGGTGCCATGGTCAAGGTGGAGGGTAACTCTGGGAGCTTTTGCAGCAGCCTGGGCTGCAGCTGCTCATGGGTCCTGATGGGCCCTGTATGGTGAGAGTAATAAGCAGAAACGTTCATAAGGGAGCAGCTAGGAGATTCTGCCTCTGAGTTGTGTCTGGCATTTTGAAGACTTGGATAGTGAGCTACTAACTGTCGGATTGCATTTATTTAAGAGCTTAAATATGCATCTGTTCTTGTTAGGCCTGATGCTTCTACTCAGCCGATCCAAAATTCTGGGGACCTGACTCCTCTGTAGGGTAAGAGTCAGTTGTGTATGTGTATCCCATTATACATAAATGGCACACTGCAGAACACAGTTGGAATTTAATTTAATTGTGACTCAGAACTAGAAAGACTATGCAATGGGGGACAGAGAAGGGGGAGTCAGCACTGACTATGTTTTCCAGCCCTCATTGTTCCCTCCTCTCACCTTATGAGATATGAATCTTCATGCAGCTCAGTAGAACTTTAGTGAGGGAGGTGTGTCTCCTGAGTCCTCCCTGGGAGAGTGGCTAGCCTGAGGGAAAGAGGGGGTGTTTCAAGTAAGGGTCCCAGTTGCTCGAAAGTTCTCCCTCCCCCCAGTGCCACTTAGTGAAACCAGTGCTGTCCTGTGGTAAGACCCTCATAGACTACCTCTGATAAAGGTTGAAAAGGATGCATGGCATTATGGGAGGGAGCTAAGCTGTTCCACTGAATTTATAAGCTTAAATTATATGACAAGTACCTGTAATTCCCATTTTATAGTATTTTTGTGATAAGGAGGGATCAGTTTTCACAGTGCTGAAGAGTTGCAATGCAGATGGAGGGGTGTTATTCTGCGTGGCTCACACATCATACATCTGTCACTGTTGTGGAGGCTGCAGAAGGCAGAGTTCTGTGTCACAGAAGGCCCCTTATTCTACACATCTTCCTAAATGCCTCAAAGGGTACAGCTATGGCAGAATGGCTCAAGTAGATTGCCTGCCTGGCAACCATGAGGCCCAGTGTTCAAGCCCCAGTACACCAAAAAAATAAAAAGATAAATAAAAAAAAAAAAAGGTGCAGCTCATTTCACTGAGAGAGACAGAGGTTACAGAGGTTGAGGAAATAAGTGGGGGACAACTTATTGTAGAGTACAAGCATGGTTGCTCTACATGACCTTCTAGGATTATGTATTGAAACTTGTGAAGAAATGAGTTCCCTAAGTGTGTTGAGCTCATGCGTGTGCTGAAGCCCTAACCCCAGTGGGGTAGTTGGAGGTGGAGCCTTCACAAGGTAATCGGCGTTAGATGAGGTTATGAGGGTGAGGTCTCCATGTCCGAGAAGCCCATGAGAACTTGACAGAAGCGCAGTTACGCCTGATAATCAGCAGGCTGAGTTTGGCATGGCCCCAGCTGCAGAAGTGGGCCAGGGCAAAATGCAAAACGGCTGTTTTTCCTCAGATGTTTACCTTCAGAGAAGAGAATAAGGGATCCCAGGTTTCTCCTGTTACCGTGTCATGCCCCTCCCTGAGAACCGTTGCTGCACTTCCTTGTTTCCCACTGTATATAAAAGACTCCCTGAAGAAGGATGGGTTGTCTGGTTGGCTGCTGGCTGCTTGGGGGGCGGCTGCTGTTGTGTGTCCGCCAGTCTAAAGACAGAGTTTAGGAGTTATGCTAGAGACTAGTGAAACATGGGACAGTGCAAGTCTGAGGACTGAGACTTTAAA